AAATACCTGTATTTTTAATGAAGAAAATTAGCTTTAAAATTTTTTCATGTTTTAATTTATAAGAGCACTACATGCTCATTATTAAATACTAATATAATATAGGAAATGATAAATGCAAATTAAAGCTATCTGTGATTCTATAGGTGATTTTTTTCTGTATATATTTTTACATGCATTTATATGGTGCTCCATAAAAGTTCCCAGAATGCACCTTTTCTATAATCTTTTATTAGTTATTAATTATTTAAATTAAATTACAGGGTCAACTTTTGATTTTTAACTTCTGAAAGCAAATGACTTATTTGCATTTTAGTACATAATGCCATTTGATATGCTTCAGTTGGGGCTCAATATACATACATTATTTAATTTCTTAATGCTATGTCTATATGGTCTCTAAAAATTAAAAACATTAACTCTAATTTAGTCCATACCTTGCCCTGTGTTGTATTGCAATCAGTATGCCTGGTTCTGTCTTCAGGGTAAAGACAGAACATATCCACAATCCCCGGGAATGGAACAAAATGGTAGCCAACTCTAAAACATGCGTTGAGAAGGAGCATCTATCTCAGTCACTATAATTACTAGTAGGTGCATTCTATCATAAGTAAGTCATCACTAAATCCTTTCTTACTTTCCTTTCCCTTTCCCATGCTTTTGACTCTGAAAGAGACTGGCCACACATTAGGCATGGGGAAGAATGAGAGGACACTGCGCACTGTTTTACAAAAAGTATCTGACAAAATGAAACCATTTTTTATTTTTAAAAAGTCTTTAAGTAAACATTTTTATTTGATTTGAACACTAAATTTTATTTTGTGCTTTGATGTCCTGGTAACTTACAGCTATTTAAAACTCTCCTCTGGCCACATTCCCTTGGGTATAATGTAGGCACTTTATGCCCCGTGAATCCTAACTCAATCATCACCTCTCCCAGACAGTAGGCTCCTCCTCTAGGCATTCCTTTCTTGGTGAATGGTTCCAATAGCCAACCAAACCAAATGTATAAGCCCAAACTTTGGCAGTCATTCTCTAGTCTTCCACATTCCACTTTCACTTCCCATATTTAATTGGTAACCATGGTCTACAGACTCTACCTTTATGCTTCTCTCATGGCCATGCCATCCAAACCATTGCCTTTACCATGGTGCCGGCACTCATTGCTTCTCTGGTGGGCTCCTGGAAGAGCCTTCTTATTGCTTTCTCTGCTGCTGGTCTTATCATCGGCCCCACTCATCCAACACAGCTGCCCAGTATGCCCTCTAATGTACAAGTCTGTTTGTAGACATCAGTGGATCGCTGTAGCATGTGGGATAATGTCAGATTCCTTTGCTTAGCACAGAAAGGCCCTCATATCTGGCCTGTTTCCCTCTCTGGCCTCACTTCCCACTACCTGCTCTTGGGCACTCTTTTCTCCAGTTATATATTTTCACTGTCCTAAAAACAAAAGCAGTTTCCCCTTTATGTCTTCTTATATGGGGTTGCCCTCTGCCAGACATATTCTTTTCCTTTTTTCCCCCTCTCACTTTTCCGTGTCTTGTCTTTTTTATTCACTTCTTTTAAAAATCTTTCTCCAGACAAGCACATGATTTTGATGCCTCTTCACTGTGATTGCTGTACTATTTGTGTGCTTACATCATGCCAGTTAACACACTGTATTTTAATTGTTTACACGCCTTTCTCTTCCACTAGACCAGTGGGCCTCAAAATGACCAGCAATATCAGCAGCATCATTGGGGAATGTGTTAGAAATGCAAATTCTCAGGCTGCACCCCAGATCATAAGTTCTGGGGCTGAGACCCAGCAATTTGCGTCAAGAGTACATCATTTAATATTTTGTGATGGGAAAAGACTGGTAGGCCATGGTGGGTAGCATGCCTGGGAATGATTTGGAAGAAGATGCATGAATGCTGCATGAATACTGTCCTCTGTGCCAGCTTTTCTTAAATAGACCAACAACATTAAAGAAGCCCAGAATGCCCAGAAGCATTTCAACACTTGCATTCATTTGCTGCTATAGCAAATTACCACAAATTTAGTGGCTTAAAACAATAAGAGTTAATTATCCTACAACTGTGGAGGTCAGAAGTCTGAAGTAGGTCTCACTGGGCTAACATGAAGGTGTTGGCAAGGCTGAGTTCCTCCTGGAGGCTTATTGAGGGGAGGACCTCTTTCTGAGCTTTTCCCAGCTTCTAGAGGCTGCCTACATTCCTTGGCTCATGGCCTCTTCCTCTATCTTCAAAGCTGGCAACGGCTGGTTCAATCTTTTTCATGGTGCCATCTCTCTGCTTCTGACTTTTCTGCCTCCTCTTCTCTAGTCAAGGACCTGTGTGATTACATTGGATTCACCTGGATAATCCAAGCTAATCTCCCTATTTTAAGGTCAGTTGACTAGCAAACTTAATTTCATCTTGCTATGTAACATAACATATACACAGATTCCAGGGATTAGGATGTGGACTTTTATGGAGGGTGGAGAGGGATATTATTCTGCCAACCACAAAATTTATTCTTGACTTTTGGAGATTTGATTAAAATTGATATCGCCTTTTGCCTTAACTCACAAGCTCTTTGGAGAAATCTAGGATTCCCTTTTTTCATTGTCTTTCCTTGTGAAGAAAATGGTTTGAAAACTTTGTGGTGATTTAGCACATTTTATTGAAAAGGCGATCCCTGCCCCCAGGACTTACAGTTGTGGCTAATATGAGAGAAGGATCAGTCCAACATGGACAAGTTTGGAACTACATTGGGCAGTACCAAAGTGTATTTGTGGATAGTGCACCAGTGACACCATGAGAAAAAGTAAATTGCAATCGAACAAGCTTGCTATCATTTATTATCCTTAAACAATGGTTTATCCATCTTCTGGTGAGAAAATAAGAGAATCCCTCTAAACCTGTTTGTGACTAGGCATGCCTAATATTTATAGTTGTCCTGTTTGTACAATATGCTTAAGTTTATTCTGCACTGTGAATTCAATACTTAATTTTCAAATTAAGTGCAAGACTACCTATCTCAAGCTGAGTTTATTCTGTACTGTGAATTCAATACTTGAGTTTTAAAAAAAAATTTACTAATCCTGAATTGAAAGCTCCCTTCAGGTATTGTTAAGGAGAACAATGTGTACTAGGTAGAATATATCTGACATTTTTACTTACTATCTTACATCAAAATAGAAAGCCCTGGCAAACAGTACCTTTAGCCAAAGCAGCAGAGGCCAGAACAAAATTTCTTTCAGTTTAAGCATGTTGAAGGTAATAAAGACTGTGATTTTAGTTGAAGGAAGAGAAGTTGTGAGAAAATTACCTGGCAATCTAAGCACATACTGTCAAATTATTTACCTTATATGGCTTTTATTTTAGGGCAATACATTGTTATGTTCTGATCTTGAGGGTAACTGTTTGGCTTTATTTTGCATGTGTTATTAGAACCAAACATGATCACCCAGAAGTTTAGGAGCCACTGGGGTTGTGGATTCACTCTGGAAGTATAATGCATCTGTAATAACACAGTGCAACAATGACCTATGAAGCTAAGAAGTGTTTCCTTGGATTCAACCCTTGGACCACTTGGCTAAACAAGAACACAGATTTAGGAGAGTGGTGTAAGAGGACATTGATTTTTCACATTCCTATAGTCCTTTCACAAAGAGAATGTGTAGGACATGTTTTCTTTTGACAGACCAGCTTTCATTCCCTTTGTTCATGAATCTGTCTCAGAGAAGAAGTTTACACTTCTAAGAAATGACTTTGTTCCCCCCACCAGGCTCCAAATAGAAACTTTTCAAGGCCACATTTGCTGTGAGAGATATTTATCATGGAAGTTAAGTAACTTATGATTAAATTCAAGAGTCCTCTCAGCACTGAGAATAGGTTATTTTCTCCAGGAGGTCCCAGCAGTTTCCTGTTTTAAAGAAATTGAAAAGAAATATATTGCTTTCAACAGCCCCCAAATCAATACCACTTCAAATATAGATGGGACCAAGTTTCTCATACTTCTTATGTGGACTGAACAATGGTGCTGACCCGAAGTCCTGTGTGATCATAATACTTAGACTAAAGCCATTGTACTCTGTGGTATGATTGTGGCTCTTCCCTTGCCATTCCAGATTCAAGTGACCAACCCTTGTGCACACCACACAGCAATGATGGTCTCTCATCCACCCATCTTTAGAAACTCCCCTAGAGAGCAGGTTGAGGATCAGACCATTTAAACATCAAAATGTATTTTGTTTTCTTCACCTTTTAAAAAGCAACATAGGGAGAATCTTAGCTAGGCAGTGCTTTTTTGACTAAATAATATGTGTAATAAATATGGTAATTAGCTGGAACCTCCTTTATAGCACAGTACCAGCATTTTATTTATCTTCCCATCTTCCTCAGAATCCAACTGTGGCTTTCACAGAAAAGCTCAATATATGCCTATTAAATAAATGAATCAATAACTTCACACACCAATGCTATAAACATGTCCACTTCTTTCTGGACTTGACATGTAGATTTTTGGTGCTGGGAGAAGGACCTTGATTCTTTTGTATAGTTTCCATTTTTCTACTGCACATCTGAAAACTGCTTTTTCTCTCTTTGAATTTGGTGAGCATGTTTATTTTAAAGTGTTCATCTGATAACTGCAATATCCTTCCTTGTTATTCTTTTTTCTATGGTTATTCCCCTACTGGTGCTAATTCATGTTATTTTATCTCTGGCCTGTCTGCCTCTGTTGGCATGTTGGACCTGGGATTTGAAAAATTGTTGGTAGAAATAATCTCAGCCCAAGATGATGCTATTTTCCTCCTAAGAGGATTCTCATTTGCTTCTGCCAGATGCCCAAAGGCACTAGCAATCTTGATCACCTCTGTTCAGTTTCAGGGACTGAGAGGATTAGACCTACAATCCCTGAAATAGCTCATGTATTTCCAGTTCACACAAATCTTAGGATGCAGACTTTTTGAGATCCAAGTCAAAATGAGGAAGGTTAACCAGCGCCCCTCCACCACTCACCTCTTGGTGGCTTCCAATGCCACTGGCCACTGTCTGCTCCTTTAGCTTCACCAGGTTGACTGAATTACTGCTTAGCCTCTCAGATGTCCCCTCCAGGACCATTAAACGCCCCTAGAAGTAGAGTGTAAACACAGGGTTCATTTCTCAGGGCATCCATTCTCCCCTGTGTTTTGTCCAGGTAATACTTCTCTATCTTATTATAAGGCCCTTAAGCAGATTTAAAAATATTTTGTAATACTTTTCTAGTTGTTCTTAGTGAGAAGGTGTAACCAAATTACCTAATCTGCTATTAGTAGAAGTCCACTCATCTTAATTTTTATTATAGTCCTTATATATATAGATCTTTAAAACATTCTTCATTGTCCATTGGCCCATTTTATTTCCTGTTTGTGAGTCTATTCTGCTAAACAGAAATGTTCATGTATTTGTTTTGGTGGCTAGCTTTATACCTATAATTTCATATAATGCTTTTAATCTTGTTTCTTCAGAAAGTATCTATTAATCTCTTATTTTGAGAAATGATAAAATCAGTATGCTTCTTTCTTACCCCACTCTACCACTTGATTTAACCTGATTGTATTTAATTTCTTAATATTTATTATGACACTGTTAAATGTATTTCTATTATTTCATTTGTCAGTTTAAAACAGTATTGACATACAGCTATTGAAAAGGACAGAATGAGCCGGGCACAGTGGCTGACACCTGTAATCCCAACACTTTAGGAGGCCGAGGCAGGTGGATCACTTGAGGTCAGGAGCTCGAGAACAGCCTGGCCAATGTGCCGAAACTCTGTCTCTACTAAAAATACAAAAATTACCAGGCATGGTGGTGAGCGCCTGTAATCCCAGCTACTCAGGAGGCTGAGGCAGGAGAATCACTTGAACCTGGGAGGCAGAGATTGCAGTGAGCCAAGATCATGCCATTGCAATCCAGTCTGGGTGACAGAGTGAGACTCTGTCTCAAAAAAAAAAAAAAAAAAAAAAAAGAACAGAACAGGACAGGACAGGACAGAATGTAATACATATATGGAGTAAAAGAAAAACAATATATTGGGAAAAATACCTCTTTGCAGACAGCCCCTTCTCTACTGTGCTGCCTGTTGCAACCTTGCACCGTATTTTCATACTTTCTCTAATAAATCTGCCTTTTTTAACATACAACTGTCTTAGTAAATTCCTTTACTGCCCATGACACCAGCCCATATAGTCACACCTGTGACATTTTCTATAAGAGAAACATGAATTTAAAGACACAAAAAGTTAAAATTAAAATTATGCAAAAAAGATATACCATGCAAACAATAACCAAAAGAAAGCCAATGCTCTTATTCTAATACCAAACAGAGTAGATACTAAGGCAAAAGCAATATTTGAAACCAAGAAAGGTATTTTGTAACAATAAAAGAGCTAATATACCAGGAAGGTATTAAAAGAAGCCAATAATGTTGCTTCAAAATATTTAAAGTAAAAATTGGCAGAACTGAGGGGAGAAATAGACACACCTATAGTTTTAGTAAAAGGATTACATTTAATTGGCCACTATGTAGTATAAAAATTAGACCTTCAAAAGTACTATTTTACTTTAAAGCATTTTCCCAATATATTGCTTTTCCAAAAACTAAGTCTTGAATTAATCAGTTCTGTTGTTAATGCTGTTTTCAAGATTGTTCTCTATACATTTATTCTTACCTTTCCCATCTTTGGATTTCATTGGAGTTATTTTTGCCTTTTTCTTATGATGAAACCAATCTGGCTAGTTTGACTGATTTGTCTCAGTGTGGCTTCCTGTATTACAATCACTTTCATTTCTAATAAATGGTAACAACCAGTACCCATGGTTATAACAGCTAACACTTACAAACTACCCACTGTGAACTATTTTAAGTGTTTTACATACATTAACTCATTTAATTACCACAACACATTTTTTTATGTAAGTATAATTATCAACTCCATTTTAGAGATAAGGGAACTGAGGCATAGAAAGTAACTAACTTACCCAAAGTTATATAGCTAATAAGTAGCAGGGTTGGGATTCAGCCTCTGACAGTCTGGCTTCACAGGGTGAGGCATTAACTGCTCTGATATCACCTTACCCCTTCCAATGATTCAGACTCTCAAATTTTCCTCTCTGAGCACAATATCTTCACTTATACATCCCCTGATATGGTTTGGCTCTGTGTCCCCCACCCACATCTCATTTCAAATTGTAATCCCCACCTGTCAAAGGCGGTAGATGATTGGATCATGGGGGTGGTTCCCCCATGGTGTTCTCATGATAGTGAGTGAGTTCTCATGATATCTGATGGTTTTATAAGGGGCTCTTCCCCCTTTCTCTCTCTCTCTCTCTGTCACGCACCTGCCACCATGTAAGAAGTGCCCACTTCCCCTTCTGCCATGATTGTAAATTTCCTGAGGCCTCCCCAGCCGTGTGTAACTGTGAGTCAGTTAAACCTCTTTCCTTTATAAACTACTCAGTCTCAGGTATGTCTTTATAAAGTAAAGACAGAAAATTGGTACTGAGGTAGTGAGGTACTGCTATAAAGATACCCAAAATGTAGAAGCAACTTTGGAACTGGGTAACGGGCAGAGGTTGCAACACTTTGAAGGGCTCAGAAGAACACAGGAAGATGTGGGGAAGTTTGGGATTTCCTAGAGACTTGTTGAATGGTTTTAACTAAAATGCTGATGGTGATGGGGACAATGAAGTCCAGGCTGCGGTGGTCTCAGATGGAGATGAGGAACTTACTGGGAACTGGGGCAAAGGTCACTCTTGCTATGCTTTAGTGAAGAGACTGGGGGCATTTTGCCCCTGCCCTAGAGATCTGTGGAACTTTGAACTTGAGAGAGATGATTTAGGGTATCTGGCAGAAGAAATTTCTAAGTGGCAGAGCATTCAAGAGAATGCAGAGCATTAAAGTTTGGAAAAGTTGCAGCCTGACCATGAGGTAGAAAAGAAAAGCCCATTTTCTAGGGAGAAATTCAAGCTGGCTGCAGAAATGTGCATAAGTAGTACGGAAACAAATGTTAATAGCCAAGACAATGGGGAAAATGTCTCCAGGGCATATCAGAGACCTTCAGAACAGCCCCTCCCATCACAGACCCAGAGGCCTAGGAGGGAAAAATGATTTGGTGGGCCTGGCCCAGGGACGCCCTTGCTCTGTGCAGCCTTGGGACTTGCTTCCCTGTGTCCCAGCTGCTCCAGCTCCAGCCATGGCTAAAAGGGGCAAAAGTACAGCTCGGGCCATTGCTTCAGAGGGTGTACGCCCCAAGCCTTCCACATGGTGTTGGGTCTGTGGGTGCATAGACAAGAAATGAGGTTTGGGAACCTCCACCTAGATTTCAGAGGATGTATGGAAACACCTGGATGTCCAGGCAGAAGTCTACTACAGGGGTGGAGCTCTCATGGACACCCTCTGCTAGGGCAGTGTGGATGGGAAATATGGGGTTGGAGCCCCCACGCAGAGTCCCCACTGGGGCACTGCCAAGTGGAGCTGTGAGAAGAAGGCCACCATCCTCCAGACCCCAGGATGGTAGATCCACCAACAGCTTGCACCTTGTGCCTGGAAAAGCTGCAGGCACTCAATGCCAGCCCATGAATGAGCCTACTCCTTGCATAAGTGTGCCACAGATATAAGACATGGAGTCAAAGGAGAATATTTTGGATCTTTAAGATGTAATGACTGCCTTGCTGGATTTTGGACTTACATGGGGCCTGTAGCCCCTTTGTTTTGGCCAATTTCTCCCATTTGGAATGAGTGTATTTACCCAATGCCTGTACCCCCACTGTATCTAGGAAGTAACTAACTTGCTTTTGATTTTACATGCTCATAGGCAGAAGGCACTTGCTTGTCTCAGATGAGACTTTGGACTGTGGACTTTTGAATTAATTCTGAAATGAGTTAAGATTTTGGGGGACTGCTGGGAAAGCATGATTGGCTTTTAACTGTGAAAAGGCGTGAGATTTAGGAGAAGCCAGGGGCAGAACAATAAGGTTTGGTTCTGTGTCTCCACCCAAATCTCATCTAGAATTGTAATCCCCATGTGTCGAGGGAGGGACCTGTAATCCCTCTGGGTCAAGGGAGGAAAGTGATTGAATAATGGGGGAAGTTTCCCCTCTGGTGCTCTCACGGTAGTGAGTGAGTTTTCACAAGATATGATGGTTTTACAAGGGGCTTTTGCCCCTTCACATGATCTCTCTCTCTCTCCCTCCCAACTGCTGCCATGTAAGGCATGCCTGCTTCTCCTTCTGCCAAAAGTTTCCTGAGACCTCCCCAGCCATGTGGAACTGTGAGTCAATTAAATCTCTTCCCTTTATAAAGTACCCAGTCTCAGGTATGTCTTTATAGCAGTGTGAGAATGGACTAGTACACCCCTCTGCACCAAAATTTGGTTCTCAGCCCCTTCCTCAGGTATAAGTCTAGTAACTTCCTCCAAGATCTTCTCACCTCCTAACCCAGCCTGAATCTGAGGCTATCTTAAGTTAAAAATTAATTTTATGGGTTCCTTGATCATTTGGCCCTCTCAAACCTCAGCTCTTTGCCCAAACTGCCTCTATGTGTATTAACTCTAGCTGGCTAAGCCCCATTGGAGACAATCACAAGCCTACCAAGATGAGCCTCCTTACAGATGATGCTTGTCAACCTCATGTAGATCCTCCTTACTCTGACAGTTATCTGTTTTCCACTGTTTACTCACTTTCCCATTTCCCTTCTGTGACCTTTCTAAACATTTGTCTCTCTCATTAAAATTTCTGCCTAATCCAGCCTCCTACAGATTTAGCAGATAACCCCGATTCCTATATCCTGAGGCTAAAAACTTCTGAATTGAGCTTTCTAATTTCCCATTTCTCCTCCAGAAAACCTATCTGTTATGTCATTTTTTTTCTTCTTTTCTCTCATATTTATCAATTTCCTCCCTTCCTCCCACACTTGCTCTCTTTTCCCTCTCTTCTTTCCTTCCCTCCATGAGTATTTGTTGAGTATATGCAAGGCATAGGTCTAGGTTCTGTGGATACCACAGTGAATACAGAATTCCTGCTCTCCTGTAGCTCACAGTCTAGCAGGGCAGACAATTGAGAAACAAATCAATGTATATCATCTCAGGCAAAGATGAGAGCTTTGAAAATAAATGAAGTAGGATAAAGGAGATAGAGAATCCTGGGGGAGAGTGCTTTATTTCTATATTTGATGATAGTCAGGGAAAGCCTCCAATGAATAAGCCTTGAAGGTTAGGCAGCCAGATTTAGCAAATAAAAAGATGGGATCCAGTTAAAATAAAAAATAAATATAAAAAGTCCAGTTAAATTTGAATACCAGGTAACCAATAATTTTTAGTATAAATATGTCTCATGCAATACTGAAAAATTATTGTTTATCTGCAATTTGAATTTGACTGGATGTCCTGATTTTTATCTGGCAATCCTCTGAAGGAACTATGGTGACAAACCATTCATAGATCCAGAGGATGAGGTTTCAGGCAGAGGGAATGTTTTGGGGATATTAATTTTATGTCTGCAATTGTGTTAGGCACTGTGGATACAGAAAATCAATACAATGGTATTTTGTCTCCTAACTGGTCTTGCTGTGTCACTCCTCTCTCTCTCCTCTAGTCCATTTCTATACACAGCAGTTAGAGTGAGCCTTTGAAAATACAAATCATGTACCTTCTCTGCTCAAAACCCTCAATGGCTTCCTGTCTCAGAGTAAAAGCTGGAGTCCTTAAAATGGACTTCAAAGACCTAGGTCAGTGGCAATCATATACATCCATTATCTGGAGCTCTTTAAAACATTCCATGCCTGGATCCCATTTCCAGATTCTGATTAAACTTGCTTGTGCTGCAGGATGGAATTCAGGCTTTTTCAGGTTCCCAGGGATTCTATACTGTACTGGGGGGTTTGAGACCCTCTGCCTCACATGACCTCATACTCCTTCTGCCTCCCCAGCTCCAGCTCTGGCAGCTCCCCACCAGCTCCCTCCACTGCAGCCCCGCGGCCGCATATTCTTCCCCAACATTCTTCAGTGGTGCTGTTGCCTGGAATGCTACTTTCAGAATAGCTACAGGGCCCCTTCCTCCACATTCATGGGGTCTCTGCTCAAGCATCACTTTACCAGCAAAGCCTTTCCAGATATTCCTCACCCTCCATGCTGGTGCCCCATTCTCTCTCTTTCTGCTTAATTATTACCCATAGTTCTCAAGATGACTTTTCGTGTTGTATATTTGTGTCACTGTTTATGCCTGTCTCCCCACACTCTAGTGTAAGCCCTATGAAAGCAGAGTACTCTGTTTAGTTCACTAATTTAGTGCCTATGTACAGTGCCTGGTACATAGGTTGAGCTCAGCAAGTATAGGTTCATGGAGGAGTTCAGAGTCTACAGGGAAATTTAGACCCATAAACAATTAATTGTAACACAACAGGGTATATCATAATTAGAAAGTTTTAAACAGAATTCCCTAGGGACTAGAATGCTTTTGATTCCTGATTCCACCCCTTCCCCTCCCTCGAGGATGTTGTTTCCGAACTTTACCTTTAAACATTTTGCTCTCCACAGCCTCCATCTGCAAACCCAATCAAGCCCTCCTCTCCCCTACGCCCCTCAAAAGCTACCATTTAGTGAGTATGCTAGGCATTGTATTAAGTACATTATGGACATCATCTCATTTAACTCACAACAATTCTGGGGTAGATATTAGTATTATCCCCTGATATAGTTTGAATGTCTGTACCCACCCAAATGTCATATTGAAATGTAATTCCCAATGTTGGAGGTAGGGTCTAGTGGGAGGTAACTGGATCATGGGGGCAGATTTCTCATGAATGGTTTAACACCATCCCCTTGGTACTGTCCCCACGCTAGTGAGTGAGCTCTGCTGAGATCGGGTTGTTTACAAGTGTGTGGCACCTCCCCCCTTTCTGGCCCCTGCTCTAGCCATGTGATGTGAATGCACCCTGTTTGCCTTCTGCTATGACTGTAGGTTTCCTGAGGCCTCCCTGAAGCTAAGCAGATGCCAGCACCACACTTCCTCTATAGCCTGCAGAACCATAAAGCACTTAAACCTCTTTTCTTTATAAATTACCCAGTCTCAGGTATTTACTTATAGCAATGTAAGAACTGACTAATATATCCTCATTTTACAGATGAAGAAACTGAGGCCCAGAGAAGTTAGGAAACTTGGTGAAAGCAAGATGTGTCTCACTTCAAAGCCTGCGCTCGCAATCACTGTGTTCTTTATGGTTTCTACACCTGGCCTCTCCTTTGTCAGTCCCAGCTTCATTTGACCTGCATGCTGCTCTCCAGGACTCCTTCTGGCTAGATATATGGCTGTTCTTCTCCCTTCCCTTCACCTCATTGTCCAAGGGCCCTTCAATGTCTAGGCCAATCATGCAAGGGTGTAAGGTGGGTGAGAGGAGAGTTGTTAACTAACCTGGTAGGTCGGACATGGCTGCTGGACTCTTTCATTACTCCTTGAGATGCTTTGCTGTCATCACATCCTCTGGTTTGAGGCAACACCCCACAATGCCTTGGTCTTCATGTCTTCCCAACCCATGAGATGCTGTGTTTCTCCTCGACGTTTTGGGCAACCATCAAACATCCAAACGTCAGAGCTGATCCCAAGGGAGCAGAGTGGAGGCTTCTGGCTTTCTTACATATGCATTTAGTAAGACGCAGCTTTTTTGACTTTCTCTTTAGTGTGGATTCCTTTTCAACATACCAGTTCCTTCCTGGGTGGTGTGAGGACCTCAGATGTGCATATGCCCTTATCACATCACCTTCTGAGGCCACCTTCTTTCTGAGGCATGTTGCCGGAAAAATTATGATGGTGTAATTCATACTGATCCTGATTAATATTTGGACTTTCATTTTTTGCCTCATTTCAAATCATGGTATTTTGGCTACATATTTGAAACTCTTGCAAATTTTATTGATCAGCTTTTGAAACTGGTTTGGAATTTAATTTTGTTTCCAGTTGCTTTCAGTACTGCAGTGGAGGCTGTGGAGGTCACTGCAGATGGTTCTGGTATCTACCACCAGGTTTCCGTGTCTGTTGGAGGTGGAGGTATTCTCTGGCAGTTGGTGTCTCCTAGGCCTCTGTGCAGGGCAGGCTGCAAGTGCCTGGGGGTTAATGCATGGGAACCATTCTCAACCTACCAGGGAAAGGAATAGGTAGATAAGTGCCCCAGTTTCCTTGCTGTCAGACAATTCTGAGGTGTGTTCTTAGATGGTCTCCAGTGACCAACTGCCCACAGCACTAACCAACTTATTAATGCATTGCTGGCTTTTCCCCCTTTTCTGTTTCACTCCCCTCTACCTCCTTAGAATGCTTCCTGGGATCACTTCTCAAATAAACTATTGGTACCCAAATCCTTGACTCAGGGCCTGCTTCTGGAAGATCCCAGACTGACACAATATACATTTTGATTTTTCCTGTAAGGAGCAGAAAACAAAATTCCCCAATCCACCATCAGCAGCTTCTCAGTTGCTACTTAAATTGGGCAAACTAATCTGGCCCGCAGACAACTTCTCCTTCTGCTTTGACTACCAGCTAAACACCTCCCTGCACACACCAGCCTTCCTTTTGACCACTGAGGTTCTAGCTGTTTTCACAAATTTCCTTTTATAACTGTTTTGAAAGTAAATTTGGGTCTATTTGATTATATTAGCCGCCCATTTGATTCATAAAGATGGATAAAATTTTTGGTTTGACCAGTGCAATCTGAGGATGCTGTTGCCTAGGTAACAGCCTGGGTGGGTGTGGAATTAAGGATAATAGGCCTAATGCTACATATGAAAAGAGAACAGATTGCCTGGTAGAAGGAGGTGCATTAGATTTCTCAAGCAACTTAAGATGCCTCACTGGAAGAGGCCATTTTCTAGGCAGTTAGAGGAGTAAATGACTCAGTAAGAGATGCTGTTTGACAGTTGGGATTTCTGTAAGGGGATTTTCTGTCATCTTATTCCAACTTCTTCCAGTTCAATGTAGTTGTGGGGGAAGCAATCATGTACATACATGCACATATATAGGGAAAATACTGAGAAAGAAAGACAAACATACCAGTGCCTGCCCATGTAGGTCACTCCTCCATATTCCATTGGATAGAAAAGATTTCTATACAAAGGCAAATAGATGAAATCTCAATTCTGTCTTTCAGCCCAGGGATAGCAGTTGAATCAATATTCTGCACTTCTAGGAGGAAACGAAGAGCATTTATGCTGTGGATTTAGCTAAATGTGTATATATATCAGGATTTGTTGAGCTTCCTGGCCCTGGTGGCACAAAAGCAGCACCATATTACTTAGTGCTTCATGGCTAGCTTGAAATGTGATGAAGATTTGTCCAGCCAGGCTCCACACCCCCAAAAATCTCCTGGCTGTGTCATTTGCTCATTTGCCTTTAAAGGTGCTTGCATAACAGCAAGTACCCTACATGGGATTCCATGACACTGAAACACAGTGGAACTGGATTTTGTAGAAGATTGCTGTTTTCCAGAGACTTCAAAGCATCCCTCGAAATCTGAGGTGTTGGTGCTGCAATCTGAAGATATCATAAGCAAACAGGATCAGGGATTAAAATTTCAAAGATAGCATCTCTTCATATCTGATAACAATTTCAATTATCAGAGCTTGGATAATGTTAGCATCACTTCAGGGTTTTTGTATCTAAAATGATAATGTCATTCCAACCATAAATGCTCTTCCCTCTCCTGTCTCATCATTGGTGACCTTCTTCATCATATTCAGCCTCTCCATTAACCTTGCCTGGAGAGTAAAACCTAAACCCTATTTTTGTACTTTTTCCTAATGTCTTAATTTGCATGGCATTGCTTCAAGGTTTTAGTATGGTGCATTGCAAGGATTATTCAGGATGGTCACCAACAAACATGCTGGCATTATAAGAAAATGGTTTGGTTCAATTTTTTAAAAAAATCTGTTCAGAGAAAAAATGTACGTATGTCAGCATTTTATTTTAACTACTTGATGGAAATCTTTAATAATGTATTTCCATCTTCTTTTATTCCTTCACCCCAGAATTCTGAATGTGGTCTAAATGTTTTGGATGATTTAGGATCATCATGCATCATGCAATGATGGTTGTGCTAAGTTTTCAGGCCCTACTGAATGAATCAAGGGGCTTTGATTCTCTAAATGGCCTACCACTACTGTATCTTTTGAATACTATTATACTTGGGTTTCTCTTTTTAAGTTTCTGTGTCTTTTCTCTCTGTCTATTCCCCTACTCAGTGTGCCTGCCAATTATCTCCACCCCCACACCATTTCAAACTTACAGCTGTTAATCTTTTTTTAATATGGCAATGAGACAACTAAGTTTGTTGGAGCAGCAGGTAAAGTTAGAACACATACACTCTTAAGGACCCGAGGCCCCTTTCTATGACTAAAGTGTATTAGCTTTGTGCATGAATTTGACACATTTTGGTTGCTCAGAAATTTGTATTCTTGTAATTTAGTGACTATATTGTGTATGAATTACCTAAATAGGTAATTACACACCAGAGAATTGTGACCATATTCTGTGTGTGTGCTTTTTTTCCCCAGGACATCCCTCATAGATTATTTACTATGAATTTAGAGACCATGATACCATTTCCTTCCAGTGCTTCAGTAATCGGCTCTCCATTGCATTTCTTTCTCTCTCAAGCATTAATGCTACCAAGCCCTCCACATCTGGTTCACTAAATGGGAGGCTTCTATGGTTCTGATAGGAAGTTCAGAGGGTGTGGCTGACAGAGTATTGTATACCAAGGCAGGCTCATACTTTGCAGATGTTTTGGTTGCATTGGCAAATACACTTGAAAGTGGGAATGTCATGAATTTTCTGGTCGGGTTTTAGAACCTCATCTGCCTTGAGGGCCCAAGACTTTTTTGGGATTTCTTGGGCAATGATTAGGCTGATTATTTTGTTGAACAAAGAAAAAGCCAAACTCCACACTTGTTCTATGTCTGTATTTCTACTTCTAAGTGTCTTTGTTCATTTAAGTTAAATCTATCTTCAGAACTGTAGAATTTTATATAAAAGGCTTTGGAGTTCTTCTTCCCCAATGAGTATAGTTTGTAGATGATGACACAGGAGTTCTGAGGTTCAATGATCCAATCAAGTTCCATCCCCTAGTTAATTAGTGACAGTGACAAGATGGAACTTGGCCCCCTGATTAGTTATGTTACCTAGTTTATTTTATTTTATTTACATTTTAGTCACACTGACCCTTCCTTGTGAATTTTAAATGTTATAGAGGTAGACACATACTTGCAAAGAGCATACTGGCTTTATTGTGATGAGTGTTCTTCATTGGCTATGGAATGGTGAGAGCACCCACACTCACCACACTGCAAATTCCTGATTGATTTAATCAAGGATTGGAAACTTCACAGAAGAGAGGGGGATGCAGGTATAGAAAGAAGAGCAGGTGCAGGGGACCACAGCAGAGCAGCCTTTGATACCTCTGATCCTGAGACACATTTGGTCCTGCTAGCTTTTGAGTGCTTCCTTTTGTGCTATGCCTGAGTCTTTTTTTTTTTTTTTTGAGACGGAGTCTCGCTCTGTCGCCCAGGCTGGAGTGCAGTGGCCGGATCTCAGCTCACTGCAAGCTCCGCCTCCCGGGTTCACGCCATTCTCCTGCCTCAGCCTCCGGAGTAGCTGGGACTACAGGCGCCCGCCACCTTGCCCAGCTAGTTTTTTTTGTATTTTTTTTTAGTAGAGACGGGGTTTCACCGTGTTAGCCAGGATGGTCTCAATCTCCTGACCTCGTGATCCATCCGTCTCGGCCTCCCAAAGTGCTGGGATTACAGGCTTGAGCCACCGCGCCCGGCCGTGCCTGAGTCTTTTATAACTGGCTAATGTGACCATCCAGGAAGAATTTCCACAAACAACGTATACCCTTAACAGGAAACAGTGACAAGCATCTGAGCCCTTCCTGGATCTTGAATCAAATTCAGGGTCAGCAGGCTACATCCTCAACGTGAAGAGGAGAAAGATTCAGGATCCAGGCCATGTAGCATTGTGGTAAAGCACATAGAATTGGAGGCTAGACTCTCTGAGTTTGTTTCTCATCTGCCACTCAAACACTGAGAAACCAGGGGAAAGTTATGTTTAACCTTTCAGCACCTCAGTTTCCCCACCTACAAAATGAAGATAATAGTAGTACCTACTCAGCAGGTTGTTAGGAGAATTAAATGGGTCAGTATTGTAAAGTACTTCAAACAGTACAGAATGATGCTTAGCATAACGTAAGGGCGATATAAATGTCACCTATTATTATCATATTTCCATCTTGTCCAGGATCTCATTTCCTTACAGGCTCTACTCAGGGAAGATGCTCATATTTGAATAAAAAATTAGCTTTGGGAATGGATGTGTAAATAAAAGTGCAAGTTACGAAGTTGATTAATGTTTTCTTCCACTGTGGCTATATCTCCAATTTTGTTTCCGAACAAATACATAAATCAAGTACAATAAATATGTTTCTCCATTCCACTTATACGAGGTTTCTAAACTAGTCCAACTCACAGAAGCAGACAGTAGAATGCTTAATACCAGGGAAGGGGGAAGGGAAAATGGGAAGTTGCTGTTCAATGTCTATAAAGTCTCAGTTATACAAGATGAAAAAGTTCTGGAGATCTGCTGTACAACATTGTGCCTATAGTTAACAATATGCTATCATGCACTTAAAAATGTTAAGAGGCTAGATCTCACGTAAAATGTTCTTAACACACACACATACAAAGAAAGAAATAGCAAAGAGGTAGGAGATAGTGTTGGAAAGTCTATCTCCTTGATGGGATTCAGATAAATGAAAAATCTGAGCCGTCCAATGTGGTTGCAAATATACAAGAATTTGCGCTGTCTCCTTTATCAGAGTATATTTGAATGAGTCAGCCATTGAATATCTCACAAAGTGTTATCATTGGTTAACATGCCTTTTACACTAAAAATTATCATATGTGAATGAACATTTGATGGCAATAAGTCGGACTATTTGAAACTGGGACTTCATTTTCTAAAAAATAAAAGATCATTATACGTATTCCTATGGTGTACAGATCTCTTATTTATAATATACAGGAAATAATTTTAGAAGGAGAAAATGGAATTATCTAATCCAGAATTTCTCAGTATAGAATCCATAGTGGTTTCTATGTATGCTAAAGATACTGGAACAGTCTTAAAAACAAGCAGACTTTTAAGAAATGCACGACTGCTCAGTCTTTGTAATGATAAAATTTTGCCTAATATATTTGACTACTTGAAAAAGAGGGTTATGGTGATAAATTTCATATCCTACCTAGCTTTTAGAGATTAAAAACAAAACTAATCAAGGTTATAGGATTTATAATTTCCAAAGTACTCTTGCATATAATATTTCATTGTATGCTTAGAGCACTTTACTAACATATTATTATTAGCCCCATTTGACAGGTAAGGATTTTGAGGTTCAGAATGTTGAAATGAATTGTTCTGAAATAAACTGCCAATGAACCTGGACTGAAATCCAGGTTTTCAGTCCTTGAAGCCCATGGAAAGTTCCTCTTCTCCAACGACAGATAAACAATTTTCAAAGAACCCTAATATATTTCCTTCATACCAGAAAACTATCTTTCTATCATAACTCAAAGGATACCTCAGGATATTGAAAACTGTTGTGAGCATTTATTATTGTGGAACATTACTGCAAAACGGCTCTGGCCATTAGAATTTTCTGGTAGTGTACATGCTGGATAAATGGAAACTTTACCAAGTTAAATAATAATTTGTGATTAGAGACTAGAAACAAAGCTGATTTTATTATTTAACCATCCTAGTAAGTTCTGAGGGAGAAATGATTGTGTCACGGATGTGTGCATGTGTGTGTGGAGTTCTGCTCGTAAACTTGATGTTAGAACTGATGCAGGAGAGGTACAGCAGAATGGGTCCCAGAAGGAAATCATATGTCTGTTTAACAGAAAACTTCAAAGTCAGTAAATCTTGTTTTTGCTTCAGAAATTGTCAGCGTAAATCCAGTTGCTGACCCACACATAGAAATGGTCTGTACGCTGTGGCTTTGTAGATGCTTTCAAAATTCCTCCTCCTAAGATTACCAGATAAATATAACATGATTTTTGTTTCTATTACAAGGTAATTGGAGTCCTAATGGTCCCCTTTCATCCTCTCCTTCCCTGATTGCAGTAACAAAGCTTACTTTATCTCATTTGAGGCTCTTAAAAATGCTTCCTATACCTGTATCCCTTCATATATTCCAGAGAGAGATAAATTTAATTTTTATTAGCTGAGCCCTATGAGTCATTCTGCTAACTGGCACCACAAACCACCTCCCCACCAGACTGGCCTTTGCTGA